TGGCGCCCCCCGCCCCCCTCCTGTGCCGCACGCGCCTGGGGGCTGCCCCCGGGAGCCAGGCCGGGGTTTCGGCGCTCGGGATGCTGTGTCTTAATCGAGGGCCCCGTCTCCCAGTTGCCGCCTCTGGAGACCTGACCCTGATCTCCTCCTGCGGTCCCATGGTCGGCGCTGCGGCATGCGGTAGTCCTGGATGCCAGTCTGGTGTGGCGACTCTAACCTGGGAGAGCCGGGTCTGATCCCCCACTCCTCCTCCGCTCGCACCTGGGCTGGGTGGCCTTGGGCCAGCCGTAGCTCTGACAAGAGCGGTCCTTGAAGAAAAAGAGCCGTTTCTGTCAAGAGCTCTCTCGGCCCCGCCCTCCCCACAGGGGGAAGGGAAAGGAGTTTGTCAGCTGCTCAAGCCATTGCAAGAACTTCATGCACCTGCATTTTTACACATGCAACAAATATTATGATGATTAAAAGAGACCTCACACTTCCTGTCTGCTCCGGCTGCGCGGCGGCCAACAGTGAGCTGCATGGCGGCGCCTGCTGCTACGGCCCAGAGTCCAGAGTTACGGTAGCTTTGGGGGAGGTCTTGTTTTCGGGGGATGCCTTATATTTCAGCAAGAGGCAAAACTGTAAGTAGGTCTTATTTTCGGGGGATCGAAACTATTAGATGCTACAACGAAAACTTGTAGCCACCGTGGTGACCTGGCGCCTGGGATTTGTTGATCCTTGTTCTCTGCTGTTAGGGCAAGTAAATACCCACACCTGCTTTTGTCAGGTATAGCTTGAGCCCGTGTTGCCCTGACCACTGTAAAAACCAGGGTGGGTCTCCTGAATAGCTGTCGCCACCTGCCTAAACAGCAAACATTTTCACATACCGTCAAGTCACAACTGGTGTGTGCCAACCGCAGCAAGGGGCTTCCAAGGCAAGCGAGAAGCAGAGGTGGTCTGCATTGGCCTTCCTCTGCACAGCCCTCTTTGGTGGTCTGCCATCCAAGTAGTGACCCTGCTTAGCTTCCAAGGTCTCACAGGAGTGGTCTCTCCCATGCCACCTTCCCTCCCACAAGCGTTTTTAGAGTGCTGCTAACATGCAAAATGTTCTTCCCTCCCCTTGGTGAGGGGGCTGTAACAACTGTCCTGAATATTTATGGTTGGGTGCACTCTGATTATGTTTCTTTATTTATCTGTCAAATGTATACCCCGCCCTCCCCGCCAGAGCAAGCTCAGGGCGGCTTACAAGAAATCAAACACATAAATAACCATTAAAACAATCCTAAAACCTTCTAAAACAATACAGATGGTGTACAGTGCTCGTGCAATTGGCCTGGCAAAGTAATGCTAACGATATTTGGCAACAACGGCAGCAGTTGATGTCCTGTTGATCCGCTCTTCGTTCTGTTTCTTCTACTGTGGCTGGCTCAGGCTGTTGATGATGACTCTGAAGGGCAGGGGGGCAGTTCCTAGTTGAAGGCCCGGTGGAAGAGCTCTGTCTTCCAGGCCCTATGGAACTGCATAAGGTCCCGCAGGGCCCTGATCTCTTCCGGGAGCTCATTCCACCACTATGGAGCCGCCACCGAAAAGGCCGTGGCCCTAGTTTGGGTCCAAGGAGGGTCAATCGATGTTGGGACCCTGACCGCAGTGCTCTTTGGGGAACATGTGGGGTAATGCAGTCCCTCAGGTATGTTGGCCCCTGACCTTTAAAGGCTTTAAAGGTAAGAACCAGCACCTTGAAGCGGATTCGGTATGCTATTGGTAGCCAGTGCAGTGCTTTCAGCACAGGCTGGATGTGCTCCCGCACAGGGAGACCCATCAAAAGCCTGGCAGCCCCATTTTGCACTAGCTGTAGCTTCAGGATCTGTAACAAGGGCAGCCCTAAGTAGAGAGCATTACAGTAGTCTACTCTAGAGGTGACCATTGCATGGATCACCGTTGCCAAGTCGTTGCATTCGAGGAAGGGAACCAACTGCCTAATCAGCCGGAGATTATAAAAGGCTAACTTGGCAGTGGCTGCTACCTGGGCCTCCACTGTTAAGGAAGCATCCAGGAGCACTTCCAGACTCCACCTCCGGTGCTGGCACCAAGGGCGCCCCACTGAAGGTTGGGAGTGGGATCCTTACCCTCAGCCCACCCCGGCCTGGGCACAGGACCTCTGTCTTCGTCGGATTCAATTTCATTCGGCTCAGTCTAAGCCATCCAGCCTTGGCTTGTAACGCCTGGTCCAGATCTTCCAGTTTGGAGCCAGACCGGCCGCCCAAGAACAGAGCTGGGTGTCATCAGCGTACTGATGGCATCCCAGCCCATGCCTCCAGGCAATCTGGGCAAGGGGGCACAGCCATCGGGGAAGGCACCACCCCTTGGGGCACTCCACATTCCAGTGGGTGCCTTTGGGATAGCTGGTCCCCTAATGCCACCCTTTGTCCCCAACCATGGAGGAAGGAGGCAAGCCATTGCAAGGCAAGCCCCTGGGCTCCAGTGTTGGTGTTGGTGTTGTGGAGAAAAAGGGCTGTGTGAAAGAGAGAGGGGCGTACGTTGGGACTGAACGATCTTAGGCCCAAATAGCTGCAATCATCTGAAGAACATCTGGTGCTGCTTCAGCTGTATTACTAGGTGACAAAAGATGTTGGCCACATTTTAAAAACTTGTTGAATTATTCAGTTTGCAGGCCTTGCAGGTGTATCAATATCTGGAGATATTCCAGTGGAAGGAGAAATCACTGTTCCTGTGGGATCTCGCTCCCCTGATGAAGACTACTCCACACTAGATGAGCCAGTTAAAGATACCATTGTGAGTATGCTAGACATTATCAAACAAAGAGCAGCTCTGTTGAGGTCTCCCAGCATGCTTGTTACTGCGTATTCTCATTTAAAAAAAATTTTAACCCCTGAAGGGTTAAAAATTGCCCGATCTCCAACGCTTGTCGTGGCCGGCAGCTCTGGATCCGTACGGACGCAACAGCGGCAGGACCATCAGGGCGGAGGAGCGCCTCAATTCCGCAGCATCTTGCTGCGGAAGAGGCTACCCCTCAAAAGCCTCATGGCGAGGAGCTTTTCGCACTGGCTCCATGGGGGGGGGGGCAACGGACAATCAAGCCCCCTCACCGCAGGCGCTCAGATCGTCTCCCCGGAGGTCTGGGAGAGACGTCTGCTAGTGTGTCGCCCTGCGTATTCTCATTTGAGAGAATGACGCGGCCTCTCTGAATGAAGAGGTGTTTCAGGATGTTTAACTGAGTGTAAGCATTTTGGGTTTAGTATTCAGTTTTCATAGGGAGACTGTGCTAGTAATGTCCCTAGGGCAGGGCTGGAAAGATGCTAATGTTTCGACATCATTTTTCAGTCTTGAACAGAGTGGTAATTTGAAGTGTAAAATAAATTTTTGGGCCCACATGATGATGCTATAGGATGCAGCAAACGGAAAGATACACCATACTTTATATAATGCATAATGTCAATGTGGTGGAGATCTTATCCAAGTGTTCTTTTACTGTAAACCTATGCTGTGAAGTAATGCAGGTAACTTCTTTAACTTTTCAGATGCGAGATCTGAAAGCGGTTGGGAAGAAATTTGTCCACGTTATGTATCCTAAAAAGAGCAGCGCCCTCCTAAGAGACTGTACGTACTGCAGGAGTATAAAAACCTTGTAAATTCAAAGCATTTGATTTATTAAATTAATAAAAAATCAGAAAGATTCTGCAATACTATTTCAGGATAAAGAATGAAAAGGGGAACCTTTAAGTGAATTTTTGATTGGGATTTAAAGTGGTAACATGCATATTGTATGTGATATTCAGGGAAGGGGGGAAATAGTGTTGGGAAGCTTGTTCTGTACAAACAGGTCTGTTGCTGGTTTCATATGGGACTGTCTCCATTTCCTTTCAGGGGATTTATGGGGACCTTTAATCCTGTGTGTATTGCTTGCGCTGTAAGTATCTGTCCTCCCCCAAGCAGTTCTACGAAATAAAGTAAACTGTAAATTCCATAGGAAGCAATTGTTTTTGCATGCCTTGTTGTGCTCATGGCACACTTTTTTGCAAAAGAAGAATTGTGCTCTTTGATCTCCCTTGTGTGCAATGTAGATTTGTTTGTGAAACAGTGACTGTTTTGCTCTGAGATGTGTGCCGCTGTGGTTTGTATGACAGTAGTGCAGCATCTGAAGCAACAGTCAACTTGCGTAGAGCAATATTAACTCCTCATCACAGAACAACCACATCAGGATTCCGTTATTCAGAAACTTCTTTGAAAGCAGGCCAAAGTTTTCTAGTCCCAGCTTTCAGGATTCTTGTAGGCCTAATTCGGGGCAAGCCCATTTCAGTTTGGCGCTCACCAGGGCTTCCCCATCTACTTCCCATGAAAGGAGAACTGGCGGGAACAAGTGGTGTAAATGAAATGCTGTGCCTGCTCTTCTTCAGTTTGGTGTCGTGGTTAAGTGCGCGGACTCTAATCTGGGAGAACCGGGTTTGATTCCCCACTCGTCCACTTGCAACTGGCTGGATGACCTTGGGCAAGCCATAGTTCTGTCAGAGCTGTCCTTGAAAAAGAGCAGGTTCTGTCAGAGCTCTCTCAGCCCTACCTACCTCACAGGGTGTCTGTTGTGGGGAGGGGGAGGGAAAGGGTTTGTAAGCCACTCTGAGACACCTTTGGGTAGTGAAGGGCCATGGAGTATAAACCCAATCTCTTCCTCTTCTTCTTCATCAGTCTCTTTTGCTCTTCTCTGCCCCAGAATGCTTCAGGGAAGATCAGCGGACAGTACAGAAGACAAAGGGCCTCAGTTTGCAGAAGTGTTCGTCATCATTTGGTTTGGTGCCGTTGTCATAACGCTAAATTCCAAGTTGCTTGGAGGAACCATGTGAGTTCTTTTTTGAGTGGTAACAGCCCTAGAACAGTGGTTCTTAATCTTTCTTTGGGTCACAGACCCCTTTGAGAATATGATGAAAGCTATGGAGACACCCCCCCCCCCAGAAAAAATGCAAATAAGCATATACATAAAAAAAATCTTACAATTTATTTCAATTAATGGCCACTTCCTGAAAAATCCTGAAATAAATCCAAATTGTGCAAATAAAACAAAAAGGAACCTTCAGTTCTGAAAAGTAAATTTCAATGAGAAGGCTGCTGCTGTTTGGATTGAATAAGAAGCTGAAATTGTGCAGTGGTGTTTGACATCCAGTCAGTTTTGACTTTTTGTTTTGATGGCAGCAAGTACTGAAAACCCCGACTCACAAAGTGTCTCGTGGCAGTGAGGAGGGAGGAGATCCTTTAGTCAGGCAGCCTCTGCAGGGCCACCCCTCCAGGCTTCTGGCCGGATTCAAGAGGGGTAGGGGAGGGGTAGGGAGTCCTTCCAGCAGTCTGCAGCCAAAGCCATAGAAGAGAGCTGTGCTGAATGGTAGGCTCTGTCAGGCAACACCTCCAGGTTTGTCCCCCAGAGCTGACATGGCCAAGGAGGGGGAAAGTGCCTTCATTCAGGCTGGCATGCAGCTAAAGTCTTTGAAAATAGCCAGTGAATCTGAGGCTCTGTCACACCACAGCTCACCATGGAGGGGGAACGTGCCTTTATTCAGGCTGGCACACAGCCAGAGCCTTTGAAGAAGAGTTCTTCTGAGTCCCGCTCTATCCAGTCAGTCCTTCAGGGGAAATGGGTGACAGCAAGAGCAGACAGCTCTGTCGTGTGAACCCCTAGGCAGTTAAGGCACAGAGACTGGCTGTTTAAGAGCATCCTACTAAAGTGATGGTTGGCCCAGTCCTGGGGAAGCCCTTTGTGAGCCATAATGACACAGTGGAAATCCAGAATAGAATGAGTACTGGTGACAAAAAGAAAACTTTTGAGAGAGACAAGACTCCTCAGCCTCAAGAATGGGATGAGGGGGGAAATAAAGAACAGCAGTGGAGAGCCTCCCTTCGCGGCAGTTAAAAGAGGACTGAGGGAATCGTGCCCCTCCTCCTGGTCATGTGGTTGTTTTGGTGGGAAAGAACCATAGGGAGGAGGGGCACTCCGCTCACGAGAAAGCCTTGGAAATCTTTTCCACGGCCAGCCTGTGCGCGCGCGATCCCAGTGTGGGATTGCACAGAAGCCACAATGATGATATTTAGTAGCATATCAACAATTTTAAAATAAGTAGAGGAAAAAAAATACTTAAACACTTGCATAGATTAAATTTTTACCTTAAATTTCACCACAGGGACATAACCAGAATTTTTTTGTGTGTGTCTGAAAGGGTGGTGCTCATCTGGGGGGGGGGGGTTTGCCCTCCAACGCTCCCCCTGGTGGCTACAGGCCTGATTCACCATGACCCAAAGTAAACAAAGACAAGATGTCCCTAAGCATGATGGCAGGGGATGTTTTCTTTACTTCCTATCAGTGGGGAACGTCTAGACATCTTAACATGGCTACAGTGATGATTGTGTGTTGTCTGGCCGTGTGCAGCAGCATCCCATGCTGTCCTGTATTTGTTTGGGGAGAAATAATAATATAGTTTGGCATAAAGAAGGGGTTTTTTTTTCACGTGAAAAATTTTTCAAAGTGACAAGAAGAAAATCGAAATGCCTCTTTTTTTCTTTTTTGGCCCAGTTCATGGACCCTGTGAAACCCGTACATGGTTAAGAGTCCCTGCCCTAGTGGATTTTCTTTGTGGAAAGTATGTTTTTTATAGAGGGAAAAGATTTAGTTGTTTAAAATACCTTTGCCCCACTCAGTTTGAAACACACAAGGCAGTTAGTGGAGTATATGGAAACTGTAATCACTCTGTAGAATCTTTTTTGAAACAGTTCTACAGTGTATGTTTTGGAGACAGTAAAAAATGTGTGTGGGGCAGAGAAAGCCAGTGTGTAGCATTTAGAGTGCAGGGAAACGCGGGTCAAATCCCCTGCTGCACCATAAATCTAGGGGTGGGAGCATGATATGCGCATGTTCTTGAAGAATAGGTGATTAAAATTGAATAAAAAATAAAAGCATGCAGTCACAGCATTTCCGATGGCTTCGGATGGGGGCCAGTGTTTGAAAAGGACGTGCCTGGCAAATAGGGTGGCCCCTGCCCCCTGCCGGCCATGAAGGATCCCCTGTCCCCAGGAGCTGCCTCCCCGCTGTCAGTCGCTTGCTGGGGCGGGGGAGCTTGCCAGGACCAGGATGGAGGCCCAGGCTACGTCACTGGGAATGTGGCGACATCACATCCAGTGTGTGCCGAAAGTGATGTCATCATGTCGGCGATGTCCAGGCGACACTCTGGTATTTGGGCTAAAACTCTATTGTAGAAGCCATTTTTACCATAGAGTTTTTGCCCAAATGCCCGGGCACTGCTGGGACATCCCAGTGGGACGACATCCCTAACAATACATGCTGGAAGTGACACGGCCACGTGGCTGGTGAAGTACCCCGGGCCTCCCTCCCACTCCCCCGCCCGTTGCCAGGAAGGGCCTGGCTACCCTAGTTGCCCGTCTCCCTTGAGGGGGAGGAAGTGAATGTGTGGCTCTGCAATGCCTCTGACTTGAGAAAAGGGATCAGGCTATCTTAGTATTTAAATGGCCTGCAAGTTCGTTTGTAGAATGGAAGAAGACCTTTTTCATTCTTCCTGGGTTTTGTATGTATCCTGTAATATTTGCAGGTAATGCTGTCCCTGAACATCATAATTGTGAAATGCTTCATGCTAGATGGGCTCACATTTACTGTGGTGCCTGACTGGTTCTGCTTCCAACCTCTGGACTCCACCGCCCACTGCCCCAGAGAACGCAGCGCTTGGCCATCCCTGTGCATCTGCCCTCAGCCCAGGCTCTAAACCTCTTTGTCTCCGGAAGATCTTTCTTTCAGAGCCTGTGTGTCCTGGGCTACTGCATCCTGCCACTGACAGTGGCTCTGCTGGTGTGCAGACTGGTACTTCTGGCAAATTCCGGAACCGTCGGCTTCGTTGTGCGCCTTTTGGTGGTGATGGCGATGTTTGGCTGGTCAACGTTAGGTAAGACTGTGGTGGGGGGTAGCCTAGACCATCCTGCATTCCACTCATGTGCCTGCGCTCTTATGGCCACATTGATTTTGGCAGCGCTTCAGCATGCACACCCTTGCACTTGACAAGCAAGGCTGCTCGTGGAGGTCATCCTTCGGAGGTCTTGCAGTGGGAATCTCATTTGTGGGGGTGGCTTTCAACTCTCTCAGGGGAGGATGAGGCCAGGTTTCCAGTCCCATCGCTTCTATTGGCTTCGCCTGTCGCAACACATCTGACCAGCAGTTGGTGGTCTTCTTCACTGGCTTTCAGTACATTTCCCGCTTGGAAGTGACATTACTATTGCCTCAACATGCTGACCTTTGTGTGGGAATATTTCTCCTGTTTCAGTAGATCCAGTTTCTCATATTGGCCTTAACCAGAGTCCTACTTTCTCCAGGTAACTTTGCAGGCCCAATTCCACACTCTTTGAAAGTGGTCTTTGGCATGGAGGAGGGAGCTGCTGTTAGTGCTGCTTTCTGTGGAAGAGAGTTATTTTGGGCTTTTCCCGTCATATACTCATTGTTATGAACTGAGCACTACCTTTCCTTTTGTTGAGAAATGTGTGAATGAGGCGTGATTCATTAACATGAGGTGAAGGTCTTTATGTATAACTAGGAAAAAGGCCTGTTGTGGAAATAAATACAACAGCCTCTAGAAAGAGGCTCTGGGCAGGTGCCCCGGCCTTGGACACTCAGTGTCAATTTGCTGTGGTGACCTCAGCAGGGTATAATGACACTGAATCCACCATTTTCTCCAGAGGAACTGATCTCTGCTACCTAAAGAACAGTTGTAATTTTGAGTGATCTCCAGCCCTCACCTGGAGATTGGCAACGATGGTTCCCCAGAAGGGAACAGTTGGTTTGGAGGGTGGAGTCTATGGCTTTGTACCTGTCCGAGGTCCCACGCCTCCTGAAACCTCGCCCTCTCCAGGCTCCATCCCTCATATCTCCAGGAATTTCCCACCTGGAGTTGGCAACCCTATCTCCTTACCAGCCAATCATCAACCTTCAAAACAAAACCTACCTTTATTTCCCCCTCACTCTTCAGCTTTCCACCCCCCACACACCTGCAGCCTCTCCCGTGCTCTGAAGCCCTGACTGCTACGTCACATTGGCTGTCATATGGGGGCCACCTCAGCAGCATATAAGGTTACAGAGCCCACCATTTTCTCCAGGGGAACTGATCTCTGCCATCTGGAAAGCAGTTGTAATTCTGAGGGATCTCCAGCCCTCACCTGGAGATTGGACACATTTTACCTCAGAACAGCAAACTGTTTAGAATGTTAGAGGCAACAGCCACTCAAGTCGCATATGCAAACGACCAATGAGGCTGCATATGCAAATAACCTCTGTGTTCTGACTGGCTGGGGGGACAGCAAAATGTTTAGAATGTTGGAGGCGAGACTCAGGCAAAGCAGCCAGTGAATAGGGACAGATTCTGAGTGACAGATCAGAGAGCGAACTGATTTTGGAGCGTGTGGAATGTTCTAGAGAAGTGCCACCACCATTCGGCTTTTATTTATAAGGGAGATTGTGAACAAAGCACTAGAAGGGAAGGTTTTTTTCCTTTACAAGAAAATAAGTTTTCTTGATTTTAACTTAATATTTTTAGATTTGTGTATGCCCTCTGCTTTATTTATATGTTTTTACATTAAAAGCGGACTATTGTAGATTTATGGATGATAATGGATTAGCTCTTGCAGTCAAAATTTCTCTGAGATGACATTTGCTCTTTTCGGAGGAGGGGGGCAGTTTTCAAGGAGCAGGGTCGTCATTGGGGGGCAGTTGTCAGTTTGGTGTAGTGGTTAAGAACACGAATGCTAATCTGAGAGAACCAGGTTTGGTTGCCCACTCTTCCACATGCAGCTGCTGGTGAGACCTTGGGTCAGTCATAAGTTCTTTCAGAGGTGTTCTCTCAAGGGCAGTTCTCAAGAGAGCTCTCTCAGCCCCACCAACCTCACAGGGTGTCTGTTGTGGGGAGGGGAAGGGAAAGGAGGTTGTAAGCCATTCTGAGGCTCTGAAGGGCGGGGTATAAATCCATTCTCTTCTTTTTCCTCGTCATTTGAGTGCCAAGGAGGCCTTAATTTTGATTCCACTTTTGTGTCTGGAATCACTTTTACTGTTGCAACTTTTAAGAGCTTGTGTTCTGTCTTGCTTCTTTCCTTCCAGCCTCCACAGCCTTCCTGGCAGACAGTCAGCCCCCAAATCGGAAGGCCCTGGTCGTGTACCCCATCTTCCTGTTCTACTTCGTCATCAGCTGGATGATCCTCACCTTCGCACCTTAGGGAGGCCACAGGAGCAAAGACTGCAGAACTGGGGAAGTGACCCTTTTGGGACCGTGGCACTTGGCAGTTGGTTCTGTCCTATCGATGTATATAGTATCTGTTGTGGAATGGCACACAAGTTAGGGCATAAAGCCCAGGTGGCCAGCAAATGGTCGCTCCCATATTCCTTATTCTTCTATGAAGCAGTTTCCTGAGTGATGCTGACATCTCCTTACACAGCATTTATTTTGTCCTCCTGCTATAGCAAAGGCCCACCAGGGGGCAGGCCTACTCCGCTTGAAGTATGCTGCAGTTTGGGAACAGTTTCACTGGGCCAATGAAGAATGTTGCTAAAGGATGACTTCCGATGTGCCAGGTCCACCTTTGACATTTTGCATTCCATAGAACGCCATCTTGCACTTTTTAAAATGCAAACATTTCAATCCCTTCTTCATGCAAAACAGAGAAAGTTGTCTGGAGTTGGTTAGAAGGCACCTTTTGTTATTTCACCCACTTTATAATTATTCACCAAAAACGTTTGGTTTTACTTGATGCTCAGCCAAGCACATCGGGAAAGTTTGCTTCAGAAAGTCAAGAACACAGCCTGGACTTAATGCATTTAGTATGTTTCAGATCCTGCGAGTACATGGGAACAGTATCTTTGCCAACTGCCTTGATCACATCAGCACAGTGTTTTGTGTTGGGGAAGGATGGTGGGTGTTGGGCAGTTAGCATCAGATGCAAATCTGTGGTCAGCTGGAGGCCAGAAGGAAGCTCTGATGGGGGAGATCCCTGTCTCTCAGAACACGCTGCATAAGGGCATAAATATTTAACACTGGAAACCCCAAAGAGGCTTTGGGGGAAACAGAGTCTCAGTCTTTACCAAAGCTGTTGGCTTCTTGGACTTATTTTAAGGATCTGGCTGAATGAATGGGGGGGCTTCATGCCCGTGAGCTGGTCTTTCTGACAGAAATGCATCTGTTCAGTTCCTGTGTCTTTTGGGCTCAATTAAGTGGGAGACTTCCTCTGTAACTGCTGAAAGAAGATGATGTGAATGTATGGTTTTTATGAACCAAGGAAGGGTATATAAATTATTCACTGAGATTTTGGGTGCACATACTTTAATCCTGAATTATTCAGCTCTCTGGGTAAAGCTTGGGAAGATGCACTTCTTTCCCAAATGGGTTCTGCTTGTACCTTGCTGTTGTCAGCAAAGAATCATAGTGTGGCATAGATGATGAAGAAAGAAGCTTATTCTTCAGAAATATGCTGTTCCAAATGCACAGTGACCGAACTTTTGTGCTCTTTTTCCTATTGTATATGGAAGATGTGATGAGGGCCTATTGTAGGTTGTGTGTATCTTGCAGTTTTGTGTTTAAATTCCACATTGGCTGCATAATAAGACAAAAGGAAAACTGATTTTCCGTTTGTGTCTAGTTTGAAAATGGAATACCTGTGTGGGAGAATGCATGCATTTGTTGTGACAGCATGGGAGGGTAGCCTGCATCTTGCATCCAGAGTTTCTGGATAATATTGAATTGTAGCAGTGCAGGCCTTTATAGTCCAACATAGCAATGCAGTATTGTGCTATATGAGCCTTGTGGGATTCAACGGACAGCAGGCTTTGTCTCCAGTCCTTGCTTGCACCTCTAAAGGGAACTGGTGTGTCCTACTGAACAGAAGTCATAACAATCATACCTTTTGTCTCCACAAGTCGCAGGAGGGCTTTTGTTTGTTTTGGTAAATGAAGCAGACCCCTAAAGCCACACTGGATAACCTGAGCCTCTGATGTCATCATCTCTTTATATCTGAATTGCTTTAAAAGAATATTATTGGTCACCTGGAGTCACCGAAGCAAGACTGACCCTCAGGAGCCTTAAAAATTAAACTGCCCATTTGTGTGTGTGTGTATATAATCTTAAAAAGTTGGCAAATCCTTATTTGCGCTTTTGTTCTGAAAGAAACTACTTATTCTGTCTAAATTAATGTATTGCTCATTAGTTTTGTCCTTGAAATCAATGGAGGCTATGCTTGCCCTCTCAATGCAGTAAGCCATATTAAAACAACATACAAGGATCTTTTAGCAGATTGGTCAAAGTGAAAATCATATGATAGGACTTACTGGGCACATGCAGGATCTTCCACAATAAGGGCCTTCAGCAGAGTTACATTGACTTATACATGGCAACTTTTCACACTAGCTTTGTGTAGAGACTATTCACCTGCAGCTGGTCTGAATTGGTAGCCTAGAATAAGGTCCAGGGCATCTCAGATGTCAATTACTGCCTTACCATAATTGATTAGAGAACAAAGTCTGAGTCTAGCAGCACCTTTAAGATCAACAAAGTACATGAGAGCTTATACCCAGAACTAAACTTTGTTGGTATTAAAGGTGCCACTGGATTCAAACTTCACTCTGATGCTAGCAAGCACAGATCATTCTAGCATACTGAACAACATTCAAAGTTCTTCCTTTATAGGAATAAAGCAGGCAAAAGGTTGAGGTCTGGTATTTGGAAAAGAGTTCAACCATTTCATCCTCAAAACATAATTCACATACCCTCTGTTTAGAGTACATTCTACTTCCCTAAGAGGGACATGGTGAAAATAAACAAACTACACTTTTCCCTGAAGGATAAGAATGGCACCGATACGGTTGCTTAGAAATTGTGTGTGTGTGTGTGAAGGAACAGATTTATGAGGGGGCAGTTTAGGGAGGAATATAACATCTTTAAGATCCGTCCACAAAACACAGCCCAGTCTTCAGGCTCACTAATCAAAGTATTTGCAAAGTTCTTAAGCTTTTGCTAAATTCTAAATGATGAAATAAAATATTTTAAGAGACCCACTTCAGGAATATTAAATGAACTATGAGTTGCAGAAATACTTTACCAAGCAGAAGCAAAAACTGTGATTTCAGAAGCTTGTAAGGTTCTATATTTGGGTTAGTAAAAGAGACTGCTTGTCATGTGGATTAGACAATAGTGGGAAGGACAGCTGAAATAGATTTTTAAACATTGAAATTCTTATTTTTATCTTACTGTTCTTTTGATTCAAAGGTCTTGAACAGATTGAGATCCAGCATTCAGAGAAGGGAAGTTGCAACTCGGGACTTCTGTTCATGTCTGATTAGCAAAAAAAAATGGCATCTAGTAGCTGTCAGAACCCACAGCTAACAACGAAGTACACGCATTCAGGAACAGTTATACTTTTATTGCAAAGCTATAGATGCAGTAACACAGGCACTGTAAAGAATGGCCGCAGCCAGTAGAGCATAACAGGATATAGGGTATTCGTATGCACACACACACCCCAAATTAGGCACCCTCCCGCGCGTGGGATAAGTCAGGCAACCGTTAGGTGGCTAAAGCTGAGAACTCTGAGTCTCTCACGGTACATAGGAGCTCTCCAGACAACACAACCTCCTCCTGCACATCTGTAGAGATGATCATTTCAGCAAAGGCATAGCGGCAGGGATAGGAATGCAATAGCAATTAACAAGACACAGAATGAACTCCCCAACCCCCATGGTAGCATAGCTGACAGTAGCTTTACATGGGATGGAGTTCTAGAAGATTGCAGGTGGGAGCAGATAGGGTACAGAGAATGGAAAGAGTATTCAAGGAATCTTTCCTCCCAATTGGATCATTGCCTGTGGCGATGAATGCTTCCCCTTTCCTCCCGCCCAAGCAGTGGCCATGTTCATCTGCTCCCCGTCTCCAAAAGGAATTCTGCCAGGGTTGCTCCTGTCAATGCTGCAATGGAACCATCACTAAGTTCCTCCCCAGGCAATAGCAATTGGTTCTCCATGACATTCCAGCTCTATTTGCACCAGGGTCCAGCAGATAGGCCCCTTCCTCTCCCATCCTGCAGAGTGGATTGTGGCTCAATGGCCACTTCTTTCTTTCTCACTGCTCATTGCTCCTCTGCCTTCAACAGCAGATGCCTGAGGGCAGGCAGACTTCCATCAGGTCAAGCTTGCACTGCCATGGAGATCAGTGATGGGGCAAAGCGCCCCCAGCTAGTCTGTTCCCAATGGGATGGGCAAGGGCAGCGAGAAGGTAGCACTCCTCCTCTGGTTATTGACAGAGGGAACTTTCTCCCATTTGACCTCAGCTGTTGTCAGCTGCCGACCAGTTTTCCCTCTAAGCTGGGTTTGTGTGAGTTAGCTCACAGTTTTTAGCCTCCAGCTCACACATTTTTGCCTTAGGAAGGATGGCTCCAGAGCAGACTAATTTATGCAGTAGCCAAATCACCTGCTCACAACTTGAATGCTGGTAGCTCACAAAGTAGAATTTTTGCTCACAGGACTCCACAGCTTAGAGGGAGCATTGCTGTCGACCCCCAGTCCGCTGAAGGGATGCTGTATGGACAAAGGCCAATGGCTCATCCGAACAAACTCTTCAACGGCGCCAAATGCATTCCTTTTAAGGTGGTGAGCTGGATGGCAACTCGAGGAGGCTCCACGTTACCAGCTTTGCTATTGTTTATTCATTATTTGAATCCACTTGTTTGTTCCTGTTTTGTAGGGTGGGTTTCTCAGTGCAGCACTGGCCTGCTGTGGCTAGCTGGGGAGGGGGCATTGCCACAATACATTGCCAAGTCCTGTTGCAGTGCTTCCGAGCAGTGAAGCGCCTTCCTCGCCTGAACGACGTGGAAGATGCTGTAGAATTCTCAGGGGTGTAATGTTCAGATCTACTACAGAAACCTGATGAAAATGACTATTCAACCGAACAGATGGAACAGGAGGGATGGGTTAACCCAGTGGTGTCAAACATCCATGGCAGACTCAGCAGAGCGAGGTTTGACACAAGAAAACGATTTCTTTGTTTTACACACTTATTAACAGCAAATTTTCATCAGCCAGTTTATTTATTATTTTGACTTTTACCCCGCCCTCCCCCGCCAAAGCAGGCTCAGGGTGGCTCACATAAAACCAGTAAAACAATATATATTCAATACAAAAATACCTAAAACACTGCATAATATAATTTAAAACCATTATTATTGATGGCGGTTCTTTGAGTAAAGGGCGTTCACATGCTGTCAACTGGAAAGCTTCAGCTCTAGGTCGGCCCAGAGATCATTGGAAGGCCTGCCAGAAAAGCTCCATTTTCAGGGCCCTGATCTCACCAGGGAGCTTGTTCCAGCAAACTGGCGCTACTAAAGAAAACGCCCTGGTCCTAGTCGATGTCAATCTGGCTTCCTTTGAACCAGGGAGGGCCAGGCGGTTTTGGCGTCCTGATCGAAGTGCTCTCTGGGGAACATGCGGGGAAAGGCAGGCCTCTGATTCATAAACACAATCTCTCAACAGAATTTCAAGTGCTTCTCCTGTACAGGAAACGCTCAGTTTTACAACTCCAATGCCTTGCTATCAACTTGAAACAAAGACTGCCTTCTACCTTCATTCAACTCCACGAAACAACTTTTATCATGACAAACATGAGATTGGGATCCAGAATCTAGCAACCAGAGCTCCCTGACACTTAAATCTTTTCCAGCAACGACTGCTTTGAATGCAGGGGGATGTCCCATCCCCCCACACCTCTCAGTATTTTTCTTGGATCTGCAAAGCTTTATAATATGCCCATTCTTATGACAATTAAAACACACAGCACTTTCACTTTCCTGTCCTGATTTCAAAGCAAACAATTCCCTTGTGTGTGTTTTTCAGTAACAGACCTTTTAATTGTTTCAACTTTTAAAAAGTTTAGTGTATAAGACATGTCCACAGTTTCCCTTGATTTCAGAACACATATTTGATTATCAAATGAGTGTGGGAAACTGTTTAGAATTGTAGTATTAATCTCTGATGGCATTATCTCTATCCCTGCAGCTTCTAATTCTGCTACTAGTCACATAATACCACCTAGATGCAAGAATACATCCTCTCCTTCATGCAGTCTAGCATTATACAATTTCCTTCTCAAAAACTGTACATGTTTATCTCTGTGTTCAGCATATTTCTGTTCCAATTTTGGCCAAATCTCTTTTGCAGTTTTGCAGCTGATTATGAGGGGTCTCTTAATCGGATATAGAATTTCGGCTTCCCTGTCGACTTCCTGGCTGGGGTGGCGGGGTGTGCTTTTGCTGGATCGCTCGGCTCCTGTTTCATTGGACCCGCTCTCCCGCAGTCAGCTGTGAAATGGCCCCACTCCCCACACTTTAGGCAGAGCCCTTGGTGCATACATTGCTTTCGAGTAGACTCAGCCACCTGTACCAGTTTCACGTTCTGCGCCGGAGGGATAGGCTTACCTCCCACTGTCGCGATGTCCAGGCGCAGGGTATTCAGGCGGGTTTCCGCACTCTCCGCCTCTTGCATCCATGCTGGTAAGGAGACCGGATCCACCACCCGTAGGACCGTTCCTCGGATCTCAGGGTTTAGCCCTACCCGGTACAACTCAGCCAGCACCGGATCTGGCCAATTCTGGACCTTTGCTGCGTGCAATTTAAACTCCAAGGAGTATTCTCTCACCGATCTCTTCCCTTGTTTCAGGGTGCACAGGAAGGCTCTTGCTTTGGTCTCGGTGTTCCGGTCTTCAAATTGGGCATGCAACCCCCACATAAAAGCGTCCAAATTCACCAGCTCTGGGCCCCTGGCATTGTGTAATCCCACATACCAAGCCACGGTGCCTCCCTGGCCACCACATCCACTTGGCTGCTGTCAGCCAGGAACAGGTGGCCCGACCTTTCCACAAACTTCATCACTCGAATCACAAAGTAGGATAGTTCCTCAGGGTTTCTGTCGAATGTGGCCTTGATCAGGTCTTTCGTGTGATGTAGCACCGGGCCTCTCGGGCTGCCTGGTCGTGGTGCTGGAACCAGGGCCTTCCCTGGTCCCGGCGTGGGAACATCTTTCAGTCAGGGGGGCGCTGGTGGGGCAGCAGGGATTACCGGTGCCGCCAGTTGTGCTTCCCTCTCCGC